ATGTACAGTTTTCCAAAGGGGTCACCCAGATTTGAACTGGGAACCTCTTGATCTGCAGTCAGATGCTCTACCACTGAGCTATACCCCCTTCTGTCTCTGTATTCTGGTTGGAAATTTAAACACAACACACCTCAAAACCTTCTTGATTTTTAGCGATAATAATCAAAAACCGTGACTTGGTGGAAATATTCAATCATCAAAATGTTGACATGTACAGTTTCTCAAAGGGGGCACCCAGATTTGAACTGGGGACCTCTTGATCTGCAGTCAAATGCTCTACCACTGAGCTATACCCCCTTCTGTTTTTAGACTGTGGAACGACAAAAATCCACCACAAACCCCAAAACCACTTGTTTTTATGTTGGAAATATTCAATCATCAAAATGGTGATATGTACAGTTTTCCAAAGAGGCACACAGATTTGAACTGGAGACCTCTTGATCTGCAGTCAAGCGCTCTACCACTGAGCTATACCCCCTTCTGTCTCTGTATTCTGATTGGAAATTTAAACACAACACACCTCAAAACCACTTTATTTTTTGCGCTAACAATCAAAAACCTTGACTTGATGGAAATTTTTAATCATCAAAATGGTGATATGTACAGCTTCCCAAAGGGGGCACCCAGATTTGAACTGGGGACCTCTTGATCTGCAGTCAAATGCTCTACCACTGAGCTATACCCCCTTCTGTTTTTAGACTGTGGAACGACAAAAATCCACCACAAACCCCAAAACCACTTGTTTTTATGTTGGAAATATTCAATCATCAAAATGGTGATATGTACAGTTTTCCAAAGGGGGCACCCAGATTTGAACTGGAGACCTCTTGATCTGCAGTCAAATGCTCTACCACTGAGCTATACCCCCTTCTGTCTCTGTATTGTGGTTGGAAATTTAAACACAACAGACCTCAAAACCACTTGATTTTTAGCGCTAATAATCAAAAACTTGACTTGGTTTAAATATTTAATCATCAAAAGAGTAACATATGCAGTTTTCCAAAGGGGGCACCCAGATTTGAACTAGGGACCTCTTGATCTGTAGTCAAATGCTCTACCACTGAGCTATACCCCCTTCTGTCTCTGTTTTGTGGTTGGAAATTTAAACACAACAGACCTCAAAACCACTTGATTTTTAGCGCTAATAATCAAAAACTTGACTTGGTTTAAATATTTAATCATCAAAAGAGTAACATATGCAGTTTTCCAAAGGGGGCACCCAGATTTGAACTAGGGACCTCTTGATCTGCAGTCAAATGCTCTACCACTGAGCTATACCCCCTTCTGTCTCTGTATTCTGGTTGGAAATTTAAACACAACACACCTCAAATCCTTCTTGATTTTTAGCGCTAATAATCAAAAACCTTGACTTGGTGGAAATATTCAATCATCAAAATGTTGACATGTACAGTTTCTTTAATGGTGCACCCAGATTTGAACTGGGGACCTCTTGATCTGCAGTCAAATGCTCTACCACTGAGCTGTACCCCCTTCTGTCTCTGTATTCTGGTTGGAAATTTAAACACAACACACCTCAAAACGACTTGATTTTTTTTGCGCTAACAATCAAAAACCTTGACTTGATGGAAATTTTCAATCATCAAATTGGTGATTTGTACAGTTTTCCAAAGGGGGCACCCAGATTTGAACTGGAGACCTCTTGATCTGCAGTCAATCGCTGTACCACTGAGCTATACCCCCTTCTGTCTCTGTATTGTGGTTGGAAATTTAAACACAACAGACCTCAAAACCACTTGATTTTTAGCGCTAATAATCAAAAACTTGACTTGGTTTAAATATTTAATCATCAAAAGAGTAACATATGCAGTTTTCCAAAGGGGGCACCCAGATTTGAACTAGAGACCTCTTGATCTGCAGTCAAATGCTCTACCACTGAGCTATACCCCCTTTTGTTTTCAGACTGTGGAATGAAAAAAATCCACCACAAACCCCAAAACCACTTGTTTTTATGTTGGAAATATTCAATTATCAAAATAGTGATATGTATAGTTTTCCAAAGGGGGCACCCAGATTTGAACTGGGGACCTCTTGATCTGCAGTCAAATGTTCTACCACTGAGCTATACCCCCTTCTGTCTCTGTATTCTGGTTGGAAATTTAAACACAACACACCTCAAAACCTTCTTGATTTTTAGCGCTAATAATCAAAAACCTTGACTTGGTGGAAATTTTTAATCGTCAAAATGGTGATATGTACAGGCACCCAGATTTGAACTGGGGACCTCTTGATCTGCAATCAAATGCTCTACCACTGAGCTATACCCCCTTCTGTCTCTGTATTCTGGTTGGAAATTTAAACACAACACACCTCAAAACCTTCTTGATTTTTAGCGATAATAATCAAAAACCTTGACTTGGTGGAAATATTCAATCATCAAAATCTTGACATGTACAGTTTCTCAAAGGGGAATCCAGATTTGAACTGGGGACCTCTTGATCTGCATTCAAATGCTCTACCACTGAGCTATACCCCCTTCTGTTTTTAGACTGTGGAACGACAAAAATCCACCACAAACCCCAAAACCACTTGTTTTTATGTTGGAAATATTCAATCATCAAAATGGTGATATGTACAGTTTTCCAAAGGGGGCACCCAGATTTGAACTGGGGACCTCTTGAACTGCAGTCAAATGCTCTACCACTGAGCTATACCCACTTCTGTCTCTGTATTCTGGTTGGAAATTTAAACACAACAGACCTCAAAACCACTTGATTTTAAGCGCTAATAATCAAAAACTTGACTTGGTTTAAATATTTAATCATCAAATTGGTGATTTGTACAGTTTCCCAAAGGGGGCACCCAGATTTGTACCGGAGACATCTTGATCTGCAGTCTAATGCTCTACCACTGAGCTTTACCCCCTTCTGTTTTCAGACTGTGTAACGACAAAAATCCACCACAAACCCCAAAACCACTTGTTTTTATGTTGGAAATTTTCAATTATCAAAATGGTGACATGTACAGTTTTCCAAAGAGGGTACCCAGATTTGAACTGGGGACCTCTTGATCTGCAGTCAAACGCTCTATCACTGAGCTATACCCCCTTTCAAATCTGTATTCTGATTGGAAATTTAAACACAACACACCTCAAAACCACTTGATTTTTTGCGCTAACAATCAAAAACCTTGACTTGGTGGAAATTTTCAATTATCAAAATGGTGATATGTATAGTTTTCCAAAGGGGGCACCCAGATTCGAACTGGGGACCTCTTGAACTGCAATCATATGCTCTACCACTGAGCTATTCCAAAGGGGGCACCCAGATTTGAACTGGGGACCTCTTGATCTGCAGTCAAATGCTCTACCACTGAGCTATACCCCCTTCTGTCTCTATATTCTGGTTGGAAATTTAAACACAACACACCGCAAAACCACTTGATTTTTAACGCTAAAAATCAAAAACCTTGACTTGGTTTAAATATTTAATCATCAAAAGAGTGACATATGCAGTTTTCCAAAGGGGGCACCCAGATTTGAACTGGGGACCTCTTGATACCCCCTTCTGTTTTTAGATTGTGGATTGGACTAATAAACACAACTGACCTTAAAACCACTTGATTTTTAGCCCTAATATCCAAAAAACTTGACTTGGTGGAAATATTCAATCATCAAAATAGGGACATAAGCAGTTTTCCAAAGGGCACACCAAGATTTGAACTGGGTAAATCCACCACAAATCCCAAAACTACTTGTTTTTTTGTTGGAAATATTTAATAATCAAAATGTTAATATGTACAGTTTTCCAAATGGGGCACCCAGATTTGAACTGGAGATCTCTTGATCTGCAGTCAAATGCTCTACCACTGAGCTACACCCCCTTCTGTATTGTGGACGGTCAAAAATCTACCACAATCTAATATCCAAAAACCTTGACTTGTCAGAAAATTTAAATAATTACCGTATTTTTCGGCTCATAAGACGCACTTTGTCTTCCCCAAAACTGAGGGGGAAAAGTTGGTGCGTCTTATAGAGCAAATGCAGAGCGCCACGAAGTCCGGTCACGGCCGTATGAGAGGCGTAAGAGCTCCGGAGCTCCGGTGCTAGGCCGAAGCCGTGGCCTTATTTGTACTTGATTTTTAGCGCTATTATTTAAAAACCTTGACTTTGCGGAAATATTCAATCATCAAAATGGTGACACTTGGAGGTTTCTAAATGGTGCACCCAGATTTGAACGGAGGACCTCTTAATCTGCAGACAAATGCTCTACCACTGAGCTATACCCCCCTCTTTTTCTATACTTTGGTTTGACAAAAATTCACAACAGACCTCAAAAACCACTTTATTGTTAGCATTAATATCCAAAAACTTGGACATATGGTGACATTTAAAGTATTCCAAAGGGAGCACCCAGATTTGAACCACTGACCTATATGCCCTTGAGTCGCTTGGCTGTGGTTTAACCAAAAATCTTCTACAGACCTACAAAAAACTACTAAAGCACTCAAAACCACTTGATCTTTTCGCTAATATCCAAAAAGTTTTCCATAGGGGGCACACAGATTTGAATTTAGGAACTCTTGATCCGCAGCCAAATGCTTTACCCCAGAGCTATACCCCCTTCTGTCTAAGTACTGTGGTTTGACAAAAATCTACTACAATTTACAATCTCAAAGCCACTTGATATTTTCGCTAATATCCAAAAACTTTGGATATTTGGATATTAGCACCCAGATTTAATCTAGTGACCTCTTGATCTGCAATCTAATGTGGCAGTCATGGCCTAGTGGATAAGGTGATTGACTGAGGATCAAAAGGTTGCCCAGCTCCACTGGGAGTTGAAGGTGGGATGAGTGTGTAAAACTCATTTGCCCAGTAAAACTCTCTCCCATTACTGTGGTGACCTTGAGCAAGTCACGAGTTACTACTGCTCCTGGTGTGTACACAGTGTGTTTATTCAATGCTGTGTGTGTGCACTTGGATGGGTTAAATGCAGAGCACAAATTACTTGCATGGGTCACTCCATACTTGGTCATATGTCACTTTCACTTTCTACCACTGAACTGAGGACCTCTTGGTCTGTAGTCAAATGCTCTATCTGAGCTATATCCCTCTTTTGTTTTTGAACTTTTTGACAAAAATCTACTACAGACCTCAAAACCACCCGATTGATTTTAGCACTAATATCCCAAAACCTTGACTTGTTGGAAATATTCAAGCATCAAATTAATATTTAATTAATTTGTTAATATTTAAAGTTATCCAAAGGGGGCACCCAGAGCTGAACTGGTGAATTCTTGATCGGCAGGTAAATGCTCGACCCCAATCTCTGAATAAGCTGCCTCTGAAAAATCATTAACCTCTTCACAACTGATTAGTTTTGAGTAGATTTTTTGTCAAATTGTACATATTTGAACAGCAAAGTTTTCACCAGCACAAAAAGCTAATACCAACCTTACTTTTTCTTTTCGGGTTAATCTTTAAAAAAGTGTTTATGCTCATTTTAACCATATGGCGAGTTTACATTCAGTTCCACATATCATGTTTTGCTTTAAAAAGGTTGGGAAGTATTTTCAAATAAGCTTAAAGTTGAACTTGATATCACCAGGACCATATAAAGAAAGATAACAATGTAACTTCTATATTTATTACAGTAACATATCAGAAAGTAAATGTAACATTAACAGTTCACAAAGTAACAAAAGTTCTGGAGTATAGGGCGTCTGTGTGCAGATGTGTGTGCGTTGAACATGTCATCCAAGGGCTGATGTACCACCTGCCATGGCCTCAGCCTGACCCACCGCTTCACCCCCCACACACAGTCCAGGCATTCCACACCCTTCCCTGTGTTTACAGTCAGCCTTACAGAGGAGAAACTTCTATATCTAATTAGCCAAAGCATCTGCACTCCTCTTTCCTGACACTAAAGCAGCAGGAGCTTCCCAATATGAGTAATTACGCGTCTACGTGGACAACCCATGCAAGTCCAATTTAGCCAACACATATCAGAAAATGCAAACATAAATGTCAAGAATTAGCATAATCTAAATCTGCATTACCAGTCTTTAATACACCCAGTAATGAAGCAATATAAGGTAAATAAACATTTTTGTTGAAATATCAAGAACACATATTAATCAATGCTCTAGTTAAAAAAAATGTTAGCATGTGGGGTATTTTGGGTAAAAAAAGAATTATATAGTTCTGGGTTCGTGGTGTTTTATGAACGTGTTGACGCAGTTTGTTCTTTGTTTAAGCTGCCATTCACAAATGGAATTCTGTAGTTTGTGAAACAATTGTCAGCCTATCTCTGCCTCAATTGTATTTAACATAATACATTCCCTGTGTTGTATTCACACGCTCAAGGCTCCACATTTTTTGAGGCTGAACTGATTTGACTGAAACTTCAAACAAAGGAAGAATCAGGTAGGTTTAAATGAGTTTAAACCACCACATACAGGAGTCCGAGGGAGTCTTGAAAATTCATGAATGACATATTTTCAAATTTCATCATAAAGGTTAGCAAAGAGCGTAATTTTTAGGGTTTTATTTCTAAAGAGAAACACGATCAGAAAAGGTAAAGATGTGGAAAGGGATGTTCATTGCATGTGAAAGACGTCATCTGGATTTCCATTTCTATTTTTGTAGCCTGACTGACCCTGAAAACGTCAAAATGTTTGCTGGGTTAATAAACAGTTTTACATCCAACTCATTTTCAGATAACAAATCTGTTTGGAACATTATACAGACTTAGATACTGAGATTTATTATACCAAAATAATGGCCATGTATAACTTTTCACACAAACTTTGATTTAAGATATGGTTTAAACCACATCATCTTATGAAGCACAAGAACCAGAAATACTGATTCATGACGTGTTTAAAAACACAAAGCATTGGGAATTTTCTTTCTTTTTAATTGTATTCCTAAACATTACAATGACCAAAAAATATGAACACCTCTGTAAAGCAAGATTACATAGAGGAAGGCATGTTGATGCCATTCTCATGATGGTAACTACGGTAATATTAGAAATTCTAAATAATGAAAACTAAAACGTCATGAATAATGACCCCAATTTTACTGTGCCATAACAATGAATTAAGTTTTCTTTCATAATAATAATAATTTGCAAGACATATAAGCATAGGCTTTAGTTTCTGCAGGTTTCACAATGTCTACTTTTTAAGACCATTAAAAATCAAATTTGGGCGGCACAGTGGCATAGTAGGTAGCACTGTGGCCTTCCGGTAGCTTGCTGGTGACTTTCCTGAAAGGAGTTTGCATGTTCTCCTCGTGCTTGTGTGGGTTTTCTCCAGGCACTCGGGTTTCTCCCACAATCCCAAAAACATGTGGTTAGGTTAATTGAATAATCTAAATTCCACTTAGGTGTGAATGTGTGTTGCCCTGCGATGGACTGGCAACATGTCCAGGGTGTATTTTTTATGGTTCAATAATTTTTCAGACATACAGTGGTACCCCGAGATACGAATGCTTCGAGTTACGAAATATTCGAGATACGAAAGGTCTTCGAGATACGAAGAAAAATTTGAGATACGAGCAATAACAAACATTTCTGCTATATTTTCTACTTGTTTGTCTCACGTCGTGCTGCACTACCGTGTCCTTGCACTCCTTTCTCCTTTTGAAGAAAGTGTGCTTAAAAAGGCTGATACGCCTTAAAACACTTGAAATCAGCTTTAAATCGAGCGATACATTATGTATAGATTACCAATAATGTGCTATAACAAATATTAGAGTTAAGGTGTTGTAAAAAAAAATGTTTATAATGTGGAAAGTGCTGTTCTGTAGCGCAACTTCTGTGAAGCCTTCTCAGAAGCGTCTCTCCATCCCTTCTCACATGCTCGGTATTCTCTCCGCTTGGGCTTGAAGCCATGTTGGTGAACTTTCATATGTAGTGCCGTAATGTCTTCCGCCACCTGTTCAACCTCCTAACAATTGCCTCACTCTCAAGGTAAGGTTTCACATTTGTGTACATATTATGTATTTTGTGTGTGTTTTATTATCATTTATTACATTCACAATTTGTAGATTTAAGGATTGAAGAAACGTTACTTGATTTTTTCTCTGGTTTTCCATTTTTTAATCTACTTCTACTGTTGTTTCTGAGAGCCGTTGCTCGGATTAGGCGTTTAACATCTAAAACTTGCTTCGAGATACGAATTGTTCAAGATACAAACGCCACCCTGGAACGGATTGATTTCGTATCTCGGTGTACCACTGTATATGTGTATGCCGTCAATGGAGGAATTCAGATGTTATAGCTCCATCTAGTGACTACAGTCATTATGACAGCAATTTAATTTCGTTTAAGTTCACATTTATTTAACAGAAAAGCATAAAATAACAATTACAGAAATAAATTGTCGTTTACCAGCATCCACACGCAGCGAGAAACACACATTATACATTTGTGAATGAGATCAAGATGAAGAGAGGTCAATCTTTTGCTGCAGATCTTGTGTGAGCAATTTATTATTTTTCAATTCATCTAACAGGAATTTCATAGCCTTTTTATGCCTTCTTTCTCTGTCCCTGGCATTTCTTATGTTGCGTTGCAACTCCTCCATCTTCTCCTGAGCTTGATAGAGCTTTTGTTTTGCTTTGACTGGGTCAAAGGCATATTGATGATCCTGAAAGAAAATATTACCTTTATTAATAACTTAATCATATTATAAAGCCATGCATCTTGCAAAGCATCCTGCAAAGGAAAACAACTGTTTCACTTACTGAGGAGAGCTTTTGGGTGAGTTTGAGTTCTCCAGGTCCTTTGACGGGTGAACGTGAACGTGCCTGCGGACATTCTGCTGCTGCCTGCTGTGAGGTTCTACTCAACCTGGGAGCACTGGGCACCTGCTGGAAAAATAGTAAAAAAAAATGCAAATTTGTCAAAATAACATAGGGTGAAGGAATTTGTGTGGTAAAGCATTTCTTCAGGTTAGTGTGAACCAATGTTGCCATCTCAGGCCCCAGCTACAAGCACCCGGTTATTTTGAAAACGGGGGTTTTTCTACAAGGTTATGCTGTTTGTCCACAAGTAATTTTCTTGTAGCCTCACATTTAAAAAAAAAAAATGTGTTTCATTTTGAAGCCGGGTGGACACAGAAAACGGTTACAGAAATCTTGGTCATTCCAAGATTTCCTAGACAAAGTCTGTCACCAAAGTTTTTTGGGATTATCCCCTCTTTGAACTGTCTTGACCGGCTGTATTCCCAAAAAGCATTCTCCCCCTCTGAAAGCAAGGAATTGCATTGCGTCAACATATTCGCAAATATTTATAAAACTAGGACGGTGTTGCCATTTACTCTGCTATAGTGGCTTACAGTGTATCCAGGATTACTTGCACTTACAGTTACCAGTTTAACATAAATGACGCAGCATAGGTCATCAGCTTTTTTAAGTGTCATGAGACACATAATCACAAAAAAACAAATACAAAAGAACTAGAAAAAAAGCTAAATATATTAACATTTAGATGAATTACTTTTAGCCTAGTGTTTAGTTAGCGGGTACAGTAGCGTCAATATTTACAATCACATCCTCATCTCATGAATTATGGGTCGCACCTGGAAGTCATCAATGGTGACAGCTCTCCAT